CTTTGTCTCAAAAACCTGTTACAGTTGTTAAGTAACACCACAATTACATATCACAGACCCTAAATACCTAGAACAGAGACATGTTCAACTTGGCAGTTCTATTTCCATTCGAATAGTCTGTACCTATGGGTAGCAACAGTAACCCCTACAAACACGAACGTGAAGAGTTTGTGGAAAGAAACAAACCCCCCCCCCCCCCCCCCGATTACTCTGCATATATTCAACCCCAATGGTTTTTTGATAGGAAGTTGCACTTCCAGTTTCATGCATCTGCCTGAGGACCCTGCATATTACTACGCCTCTGCATGTTCTTCAGGCTCTCCAAGAGGCTAAATGCTAATTAAAGTACCAGCAAAGCTGAAAAACTGAATAGGCCATAGGTAGGCTTCTGCACAAAAGGAAGGAGAGGGAGAGAAGGCCTGTGCACTTTTGGCATTGCTCTGAAGCCATTCCAAGATATTTCTTTAAACCTCAGCAGAGGAGTTAAAAATAAAGCAAAAACGGACACAACTCAAAACTATTTACTACGCTATTTAAAGAGGGCTGGACCCAAAAAAAGTCAGTCAACATATTAAAAAAAACAAAAAACAAAAAACCCACAATCGAGTTAGTGTCCCTTCAAAAAGGAAAGTAATTTACAGTTAAGAACATCCAATTTTACATTACCCACAAAATAGAGTCTTAAAATATAAAGAAATGTATATTTCGTCACAACCTTAACAGATGCAACATATAAACATTAAAGCCGTTCTGAAGAAAATGTGTATGTACATGAAAGACTTCATTTGAAGCTGATCAATTTACATAGTTTTCCATAAATCAATAAATGTTATATTCTACCCAACTAAATATTTTCCTTTGCTATCAATGTATCAATTTTTAAGCTAAAAATACAGAGGCTAAAGAGGTCTTCATAACGGAAGATGGTTGAGACCTTGGAACTAAAGGAGATGGTACCACCTTTCCACAATACAGGGACTTCTGAGCTTTTAGTCATTTACATGGTACTCAAAGGATTATCACAGTGTAGTTAATCAAAACAGATATTCTCAAACAATTGGCAAATAACCAAACCCATCCTGCTACTACCACCCTCTTAACCCACAGTAAGAGAGATATCACACAGCTATGGAGACACACAATGACAACAGTGCAGCCAATTACACCTGCAGCAATGTAACTCACCAAAATAATCAGAAGGCGCCAGTCTGCCCACTTCAACAAATTCTTCATTCTCCGACCTCCGCTGTAATACTGCAGCTGTGCCCTTTAATAAATCAGTTATTAGTAAAAGGAGTTTGCCAATATCATCTGAAACATCTTAACTTCCACAAGAACTCAGCTTCATTGCAGTGTGTCATACAGGAAGTGTCTTATCCATTAAAAACCCCATTACACACTTCACGTATATTTCACTATCCATTTATATTAAAACAAAAGTCCTCTGGGTCTCTCCTTTAAATCCCCTTAGGATGGTACTTACATGCATCATAGAATTCCTACTGACTTCGTTAATCAAAATTATAAGATGCCTGTAAAGTAGCAGGAAACACTCAAGAGATAATGGAACCAATAACAAACATTACTAGCCATCTCCTGTTCTATTCCTCTGTATTCAAAAAAATTAGGGAAATAGTGCAGGTCTAGGAGGGTGATACTATGGATTATCAAGACAACTTAAAAAAAATAGGTGATTATAAATATTGTGGTTCATATATTATGAAACTAGCAAGACAGTTTCTGGAGATGCTTGCTTATCTAGAGATGCACTATAGCACCTACCCGAACACCTACAGCTACTTTCAGGAATAGGACCAGAACAGTTTTACACCCTAGATATCCTCTTTTGGTGGGTTTCCAATTCCCTCGGCTAACAGGTACTTGAGAGGGTTGATTTTTGGGCTTGACCAGCTACCTCACTCTCTTGGAAGTGCCATTTGTAAAAACAGCAAAGCAAGTTTACATTCACCTTGCCTGGGCACCCAAAAGTGTAAGTTTTAGTCACATCATTCTCAGAATTTTACAGACACAAGGAGAATAAAATAAATTCCTAGAACCAGGTGTTTCGTTTTGTGTAACTCAACATACTAAGCAGAAGTAACATTCACTCACCTCTAAGATAATAAAGAACTCATCTCCTGGTTCTCCCTGCACCACAATTTTCTGTCCATCCTCAAATTGTACCGGTTCCAAGGCATCAGCTACAGTGAGACGCTCCCACTTGTCCAGAGATTCTAAACAAAGTCAACAGTCCAAGTCTTTTAGTATGCATCATGCAGTATCTGTTCCCACGCTCAAAACATTACTCTCTCTCTGGTAATACCCATTTGTAAAAATCAAGACCTTAATAATAATGGTCTTAGGCTACGGCTACACTAAAGAACTTATAGCAGCTTTCTAGTATAGCTGCTCTAAGCCAATGGGAGAGAGCTCTCCTCTCGACCTAAATAATCCACCCCAACAACAGCAGCAGTTATGTAGGCAAGAGAAGTTCTTCCGCTGACATAACACTGTCCACACCGGCACTTAGCCTGGTGAAACTTATGTAGCTTGGGGGAGAGGGGTGGCTTATTTACACCCCTGAGCAATATAAGTTACACCAACATAAGTGTAGTGTAGACATTGCCTTAGGATTATGCAAAAAAAGCAGCACACACTATGGAACTGGTTTTAACAGATTACCACTACAGAGGTTTAACTGGGTATCCACCTCATTACATCGAAGTTTAAAGTGAAACCTTCTCACTCACCCAATATAGATACTTTACTAAGGAATTCTTCATTCAATAAAAAATATAAAAAATAAAAAAAAACCTAACAAGAAAAAAAAAAAAAAAAAAATCCAGACAAAACCAAGATAAGCTTTTATTTTCTACTCATATTTTGTAGTAGTTTTAA